CAAACTTCATCTGCAACTTCATCACATAATTGGTTAATGCTAATGAGACTTTACTTTAAATCTTCCACATAACTAACATTCTTGAGCTAAGGAAGACCAGGAATATTAACACCCTTCCAGTGATTTGGGACTTGTTACCACTATCAAAGACAACCCCACCACCATTGAAAGGTGAAAGAGATAGGAAAACATCTTTGTCCCCAGACATGTGACGAGAGCACCCACTGTCAAGATACCATACATTTGGTTGATGGTAGAGAGCTTTGAGAACAACTAAGCATATGTTAAAGACTTTCTAAACCCATTTGGAGTGAGGCCTCACCCTTTCCATACTGGATGACTGCACAAGTTGAGCAATTTTGTTGACTTTATTGATTAGTCGATCCACTTGATTCTTTAAAGTGTCATTCTTCCTAAAGTGAAGTTTCCTATTCTTAGGACGAATATGGCCCAAATCTCCACAGTGATGACATGTGGGAATAAATTTAGATTTTGAGCTTAGGTTGACTTTAGGTGACACATGAAGAGACTCACTCACAAATCTTGATTTGGTACTGGTTAAGCTTGATCCGTTTTCCACGTAGTCACCATGTAGTTTCCTAAGGCTCAGCATCTTGTCAATTTTTTTCAGCCTCAATGGTAAGATAAGTAATGTTGTTATTTGCTTCATTCAACTCAAGTAGCTGTTTTCGATTAGCCTCATGATACATAATTTTATTTGCTTGCAACACATGAATTTGATTCATCAAGTTTTCTTGAGATTTCAGCAATTTTTGAACTTGAGCTTCAAGAGCAGCAATAACATCATCTTTTTCCTCTTTGTCATTGTAAGGAGAATCATTCTCATTCTACTCCTTGATATATGCCTCAAGATAACCAATCTTTTCATCCGGTTTAGATCTGACTAGATGAAGTTTTGTTTTCTTTCTGCAACTCAGTAATCTTCTTGGACAACTCAATCTTCTCCACTTTTGTAGTACAAGTCTCATAAAAAAGAGTATCATACTTGATGCACAACTCATCGTAAGTCATCTCCTCATTGTCATTTTGCTTTAGATCATCATCATTTAGAGACACTTCCTCCATTGGAACAACAAAAACAAAAAAATTTCTCCATCACTCCAAGTAACCATCATTGCTTTGTCCATTTTCTGACTTGATTCCCTGTTGTTTGCACACTCAACACCACGATGTCCACTTCCACCACAAGAAAAACATAGACCAGATTCTCTAGATAAGGATTTAACCCTTCTACTTGTGAACCAACCTTGTTTTCTACCAAAAGTAAACTTTCCATGTGATTGGTACTTTGAGTTTCCAGATGACTCCCCAACCTTTTTGATCTCATTTCCTTTATTGTTGATAATTCTTCTGAATTAGTTGACAAACAAGGCAACATCATCTTTTGGAGCATTTTTACAAGGAACATTGACAATCTTTGCATTTTCAACAATATGAAGAGCAGCACCACTCCTTTTCTTGACATCATCTTTCTCCATATCTAGCTTCATTTCATAAGTGATAAGCTTACCCCACCAGTTTTCCAAGTTTGATCTCTTTCAAATGTTGAAATTCTTGAATGGCAGCCTTTTGAGCATGAATCTCTTAGGCAATAATCTCAAGATCTTTTGAACAATGGTAGTTTCATTAATAGGCTTGCCCAACCCTAAAGCTTCATTAGTTAACATTTCAACTTTTTCATAGAAAGCCAAGAAGGTCTCAGCTTCTTTCATCTCAAGCTTTGAAAGAATGAGATCCCTCACCTGTTTATCTCCTTCATGAAGAATTATGAGCTTGTCCTAAGCTTGCTTGGCCATTGTACAATATTGAATATGTGCAAATTAAGTTGGAGAAATGGTGGTGACAATGGCATTTCTTGCTTTTCTGTTTGCCGTGACAGAAATAATTTCACTAGGAGACCATTCTCCTTTAGATTTAACCACAGGCCATTAATATTTCTTGATGTTCCTTTCCATTCTGGGGTAAGATAGTCAAACAACAATTAAGTATTGAGCTTCCAGAATGATTTGAAACTTTTCACTCCATGCAAGATAATTAGATCCATCAAAGAATGAAGGAGTATTGCAAGATGTACCAACACGATCACAATCCAATGTGAGATTCCACCCAATACTAGTAAATCTCAGAGATCACTCTATGTATATCTAGAGCAAGGCTGTGATACCAATTGAAATTGGTACCAGGATCCTGTAAATAAAAAAAAATAATCTGCTAAGCTGACTAGTCAAGCCCGCTAGTCAACTAAGATTGATTTGTTAGTCAATAAATCAAAGATTCAATAACCAATTTCAAATACCAAAAGTTATCCTAGTCAGCAAGGCTTCAATTCGTTCCAAGTTATTACTGTGTCAAGTGAGCATGATTGTGAGCACATACCAATTAAATATTCAATTGATACTTGTAGCATGTATATGTATGTGAGATATGTGACACAATATAAATAACTTTGAACACAAGATACTTCTAGCCAGAAAAAAAAACCCATCTTTGGTTAAAAAACTGGGGACTCTCCATGGAGTCCAATCCACTAGTATAATCAAGATTCTTACATAAGTATCGCAAAGCTCAATTCCTAAACCTAGTCTACAGAGCAGCTTTACCTTTATGCAACCTTGCCTTACACGAAATGGATTCCTTTGGTCTTCACAAAGTGGCAGCTCCTTCTAAGCTCTTCACATTGTGGCACCGAAAATATGTTGTCTTCAGTCCTCACAAGATGATAGCTCTTCCTGAATTGTTCACCTTGTGGCACCGAGACCAACACACAAACTATGCATATGATGATATATCAATTATATACAAATCTAGATTCAAATGTCCAGTCAGTTTCTCCAATCAAATTGTTGAAGGAAGAAACTGACGAAAATCCTAAATTGGGTCAATTTTAAAGATTTGAAACTAGAAACACTTGACCACAAATTTAATGCAAAACCAAAGACAATGCAACCCTATTATTCAATGATTGAGTGTTTAATGCATGAAAGAAGGTTTTGCAACTAGGGTTTCATAAATGAAGAACAAAGAGGAAGGTGAGGCCTTAATGCCCTTTCCTCTCTTTCTCTCTCTAGGAATACAATATGAAAACCCCAAATGATATAAGGAACCAATTATGGATCTTAACCCCAAAAGCTTTGGTTCATTTTTCAACCTACATGACAAGTGTCAAGCTTCGATCTGAAAAGATCAAGGGTGAAAAATAGACATTCGACAAAAATCTGTCAGTTAGCCCATGTGGGTCTGTCTTAAATTGTGTGCCTAGCTTGCTGGAAATCCGCCTGCACAGCTGACTAGACAACTAAGCTAGTTAGAAAGAAACAGGAATGCAGATGTGAAATGCACATGCATGAACAAACATTTTGAAGTGAGGTGTGCCACATTCTTGAACATTTTTTCCCAACAGACACAGCCCATTAAAAAAAAAAAAAAAAAAAAAGCCTTAAAGCTAGATTGAGCATGTAGTACAATTACAATGTTGACAAGGAAAGACAAACTTAAAAGTCTAGACTTCGCACTAAAAAGTTCAAATCTTCTTCCATATAAATTAGTGTAACTTAGAATATAAAATCATTTTACTCAAACTTCTAGTTATTTACTCTAAACACCCCAAAAGTTTTACATATTTTTAAAAACCCCCCAGAAATAAATAAGATGGTTTTTCAATCCAAAATAAAAGAATTTCTAAAGACCAAACAAATTGTTTTCTACCAAAAAATCGGGTGCCATATGCATATGATTCAATCCAAAATAAAAGAATTTCTAAAGACCAAACAAATTGTTTTCTACCAAAAAATCCGGTGCCATATGCATATGACCTACTTTTTAACTCACAAATGTCATTGATAAATTATGACGTGGTACTGAAAACCATCATATTGTTTAACCAATCAATTTATATTATATCATGTGAATTTAACCATGAATACCACAACCTAAAGCATTTTTCATGGATTGGTCATTAACCATAGTAAAAGCTAAGATTTTTTTAGTTTATTTTATTTTTTGGGTCAAAAGGTAAAATACATTACCAACAAGTGAAGTACATATAGACACAACAAAAGAAAGAGCCACCACACAGAAGACAAGGGCCCAAGACCAAACTTGGAACCCAGCACATACAAATAAACCACATAGAAGACCCTAGACAGCTAGGCTTCCTGAAGCTACAAACGATACTGCCGCCACCAGAGAATCACATCACGATAATCACGATCGACCACCCTCCATGATCACCTGAGATTAGACCATCAAGAAACCCATAATTGGTGAGGACAAAGATCACATCATCCTCCAAAGATTGACACTGGAATAGTCGCCATGAGATCAAGAAGCATGCCGATAAAAAGAACCCATGAACAACATCGCCGACAAGGGCGAGCAACGGGAGTGACCAACAAGGGTGGTGGTGCAGACACCCGAGGTAAAGCTCTACACACCCGAGTAAAGATCCGTGACAAAATGCAGTAAGTAGAGGCAATTTGCAATCAAAAATGAAGAGAGAGATGATGGAGCCAATTGAGGAAGATGATGGAGGGGAAGGAGTCAAGGAGGATGGAATAAACGGGGGATTGAGGTATAGGCCCCAGGATGGTGAAATCAAAGACAAAAGGAGAAAAAGGAGGAGTAGATCGTGCAGATAGCATGGATGGGGAAGGAAAATGTGCAGGCACCAAGAAGAGGAAGAAAAAACTGAAAAAAAATAGAGCACAAACCACAAAGGGAATACACGAGGTTGTTACTGACCCGAGTCAAAGCTAGGGCCGGTGCCAAAACAAAACGGAGAGAACGAAAACCAATCACACGACGGTGAGAAAGCCTCTCACAGAAGAGAGAAAGCTCTCACAGGGGAGAGAACAAAAACCCTGGTTGGATTCTAGTAAAAGCTAAGACTGGTCACTAATCAACCCATATTATAACACGTAAAAAAGCAAAGTGACGGTTGAATACCCAATTCTGATTAACACAACTGCGAGCAATTCTGATGAAGAAAATTCTAATTTCATTTAGCAAAAGTAGATTGCATGATTTGTGAACAAAGGAAAACCATAGGCCACAACAAATTCATATCTTGAAGTAAACAGTATACCTCAACCCCGCAACAGGGAATAATCAACGTAATAAATCCTACCTAAGAACATTCGAATAAAATTACAGGGGCGTTGATAAGCAGATTACCATCCACGTCATATGTATACGGAGCAGCAGCCACTTCGACAGCCTAAACTTTGAACGCTTCATGAAGATCTATTACCCCTCTGATATACTTCTAACCTGTTTTGGTTTTTGGGGCAGCTTTCTTTTTGACTTGCCTCCTTGGAATTGAGTTCTTCATGCCAATGAAGAAAAGCAGTGCACCAAAAAGCGCTGCGTGCTGTAGAAAGAAAGTTGAATCTCAGCAAACGAGGTTCCTGCTCATTTGGAATAAAATTATATGATGAAAAAACACACAAAGCAACAAGCACACGCATACAAACCTGCAAGAATTCGTTTAGGAGTATGCCAAATTTGGCGTTCTCAGGACTGTAGTTGTAGAAATCATAGATAAGGGGAGTGGTAATTGCCAATTGTAGAAGCTACAATAGAAAAACGTTATACATGTCAATAATTTTCAAAAAGCTTATATGTTGGCCAGAAATTTAGAAAAATGAATACTAACCAGGAGAGAAGCTCCAAAGGAACTGTTAAGCACGAATAGAAGTCCTCCAAGCCCTTTCATTGCTACCACACCAGCAGCTAAATGTCTTACCTGTACAAGAAATTCCCGTATCAAAAGCAAAACTATAAATACGCAGCATGACCAAAGAATCCAAGCGAGAAACTGCAGAGAAGGAAATAAAAAGACTTACCTCTATCTCCGGTATTGCAACCCCTAGCTTAGCGGACAAATTTTTCTTGAACACATAAACTTGGGAGCCAAGTCCTTTGCAGCAGGGCCGCCATCAACACCAAATTCATTAAACCTGCATACACAGATGTTACATCAACACAAAGGAACAGAATATTGTCTAAATTTTAACACACCAACGTGCAACAGATTTTGCTAAAGATACACAATAAGCCTAGCAAATTTGTGCATAATTCTAGCAATATGGTGCACAGAACATGACCGCAAATAATTACTTTTGTCAAATGATGGTAAGCCAACGGGTGAAGCACCAGAAGATACTTATTCTTAACAATGTCAGCGCAGAAAACGGGCCAATTCCTTGACTAATGTCCTTAATACATAAATTTACATATATGTGTGTGGGTATTGAGGAAAACGAAAGCAGGGGTTTGAAGTCACGACATTACAATATTTACAACAACCGTCACTAAATAGCGAAAAATGGAAACTTGATTTTGAAATTAACTTTATCACCTAAAGTGCCATTCCATACTGTAAATAGAGATGTATTACCCGAATCAAACTAACGAAACTTGAAAACTCGAAACAGAATATTGTCTTAGTTTTAAGGGAAGAAAATGAAAAGATTCTTCAAAAGTATGCAAATAAGTTCTTAAGACACATTTCAACCGAACCAAATCCTTGTCCGTCGAAAAAGAAAATCAAAGTTCATTTATCAAAGACCAGACAAGAAGCACCCAACTCAACTTCACAGAGACGCAAACAAGTTGGTTTCGCGTTGGAAAAATTTATTCTCAATCCAGATTCCATAAGACAATACAAAAGATCATTAGATCTTCACAATTCATTCAACCACCCGACACTCTACGTGCCGAAATTAATCAAACCAACAAGAGATTTCGAAACCGAGCACACATTAATAGATCTCAGTCATTTCTTAACACTAATAAATCCAAAACTAAGCAGTAACAGCAATCCAGAACACTTGAATTATTGCTTTGGAAAACAATTACCTTCTTTTTATTTTATTGAAATCTCACTTCAAAAATGTCAAGCACCCAAACACCAATATATATATACATATATATACACACACACATAAAAACATATTATGCAGAGGCATCAGAAATCTGGAAAAAAAAAAAAAAAAAACCCGAAATATGCTTAAAGTTAGATCGAAGAAGTAAAGCTAAACTAAATCAGCTAAGAGTAGAAAAGCAAAAAGGAGTATACATGTATGGTTGGGAGAGAAGCCCTAATCGAGCAGATCTAGAGAGAGAGAGAGAGAGAGAGAGAGGAGAGAGAGAGCTTACGCTTGCCAAGCAGAGAGCATGAAGATGGAGGCGAAGAGGACGCGGCCGAGGAAGGAGACGAACCCCATTGTCTTTCTGCACAGGAGGATAAAGAAGAAGGACGACAGAGCGCCGAAAACGACGGGGTTCGCAGGGTCTCCGAGGCGTTTGGTTGGTGTGCGGGGTAGTCGTTTCTCGTTTGGGTTCGGTATTTAAAGAAGCGGATTTTTAAGGGCTCAAAGACTTAAGAATTAATAATAATAATAATTAAGATGGCCGGACAGGAAAGCCCCCGGTTGCTTTGAAATCTCAATCCAAACTGCAGAGAGCCGTGGACATTGATACTGATTTTATTGGGTAAATTACAGAGAACTACCTCAACTATTAGGTTATTAATAGTTTCATATCTCGTCTTTAAAAAGTTTCAATGTCATACCTCATCTACGAATTTGTTACAATTTCATACCTTCTCTCAGTTGTCTATCAATTCTTCTGTTAAAATGCTGATGTGGCAAGTGACGGGACCCATTTTCTATTAAAATATTAATTAAATATTAAAAAAGAAGAAGAAAGAAATCCAAACCCATATCCCATCCCGCCCCCCTTCCCATCTTCGTCATCCGTCCCCCCATTCCAAACCCAAAACCCTCCCCCGGGCCTCTCTTCCTCCATATCCTTCTCCCTCCCATGGCGCTCCTCCCCTTCCCCCTCCTCTCCTCCTCTCCTCCTCCTCCTCTGCACCTACCCTTGCACCCACTCTCCGCACCCACCCTCTTCCCAGCTCTACACACCCCACTCCTTAAATCCACACCCATTCAAAACCCCCAGTTCGTCTTCCCCCACCCAAGCCCAACCTGCAACCCACAAAAAAAAAAAAAAACCCAGATCCCTTCTTCCCCGACCCCTTTTTCCTTGCACCCACCCTCGCAGGGAAGATGAAGACGGTTTTTTTTTTTTTTTCCTTTTCTTTTCAAGGTTGCAGGTTGGGCTCGGGTGGGGGGAGAGGTTAGTGAAGTAGGAGGAGGAGATATAGATTTGGGTTTCTTTCTTTTTTCTTTATAAATATTTAATTAATATTTTAATAGAAAATGTCTCCCATCACTTGTCATGTCAGCATTTTAATGGATGAATTGACAGACAACTGACGGAAGATATGAAATTGTAACAAATTCGTAGATGAGGTATGACATTGAAGCTTTTTAAAGACGAGCTATGAAACTGTTAATGACCCAATAGTTGAGGTAGTTCTGGGTAATTTACCCGATTTTATTTGACTCTCATCACTTCTTTATATTGTTTTTTGGGAGGATAGTCATGTTGTGTAAAATTTTGATTTTGTCCACACCATTTTCAACTCTTGTGTTAAAATTTAAAATTTTAATTCAAAAAATTAGATTTTAACTTATAAATGGTTTTTTCTGTTTCAATTCTTCTACGTTAAATTTTTAGTCCGAGATTATTAAAAAATGAATTTAGGATAATTTTTTTTTCTTCAAGTAACTTTTTAAAACAAATTAGGGTTAATTACACTTTACCACCTCAGGTTTGGGGTCGATTTCAATTCCTTACAACATCTTTAAAACATTTTACTTTCATACCTTAAGTACTAGTTTATTTCAATATAATACATCTGTTACATTTTCATCCATTGATCCGTTAAAAGCTGACATTGTTGCTACATTTGTGCCACGTGGCTGCCAAATTTATGCCACGTGGCAAACAAAATAATTTTTTATTACCTTATTATAAAAAATAAAAGGGTAAATTATATGGAACTACCTCAACTATTGGGTCATTAACAGTTTCATACCTCGTCTTTAAAAAGTTTCAATGTCATACCTTATCTTTGAATTTGTTGCAATGTCATACCTTCCATCAGTTGTCTGTCAATTCCCCTGTTAAATGCTGACGTGGCTTGAGTCGGGACCCACTTTCTATTAAAATAATAATAAAGTAATTAAAAAAATTTCAATATTAACTAAATATTAAAAAAAAAAAAAATCCACCAAACCAAACCCAGATTCCCTCCCCCTTCCCATCTTCCCATTGGTCCCCCCTCGCCCCCCCCAAAAACCTTTTTTCCAAACCCAGAACCCCACCTCTACCTCCCTCGCAACCCCCGCAACCCCTTTTCTCCAGCCTCCCAACCACCTCTCTCTTCTTACTCTCTTCACCTCCCCTCCCATTAAACTTTCAAATAAAAAAAAATAAAAATAAAACAATCAGAGGGTCCCCATTACCTCTGTCAATGAGTTTGTTAATGAGGCGGGACCTGATGAACTCAGCTTCGTTGGTGATGACGATTCGCAACCTCTGCTGGTCAAGCGCAACAAGGACGCGACCCACCTTGGCATGGGTGGGCTTGGAGACGAGGTCGTGGGTAGTGGAGAAGGTTTTGGAGATGAGTTGGCGGGCGGAGTTGGGATTGAAAGGGTCCATGAAGAGAAGGATCCATCAACTACCTCTTCAAGGAGCAGCGCCTTGAAGAGAAGGTTCTGACGAGGATGAAGAAGAGGCGTTGCTCCTTGAAGAGGTAGTTGAAGGATTTGGGTGGCGGATTTAATGGATCTGGGTCGATGAGGAAGATGGGAAAGGGATGGGGAGTTTCGGGGGTGAATGGGATCTGGGTTTGGGTTTGGAATTTTTTGGTTTTTTTTAATTTTTTAATATTTAGTTAATATTTAATTATTATTTTTATATGCTAACGTGGCTTTGGTTCCCCTCAAGCCACGTCAGCATTTAATGGAGGAATCGATAGACAACTGACGGAAGGTATGAAATTGTAACAAATTTGTAGATGAGGTATGACATTGAAACTTTTTAAGGACGAGGTATGAAACTGTTAATGACCCAATAGTTGAGGTAGTTTTGTGTAATTTACCCAAAATAAAAAATAAAAAAAACGTGAAAACCAGAAACCCATTCCCCCATTCCGACCACCTCCATCCTCTTCCCCATCACCACCACAACCCTTCCCCATCACCATCACAGCCCCCAGACTACTCCTCCCTCTTCATATCCCCGACACACCTTATCCCTCTCTTCCACTCTCTTCACCTCCCCTTCCCTAGCCGAGACCCACCGCCAAAGACAACGCTGAATTAGAATCTATACCTCTTTCCAACTCCTTCTCTTCCCTCAGCCCCCTTCCCCACCGCCACTTAACCCCACCCCTCTCAAGCTTCGACTGCTCAACGGCACCGCTGAGATCTTCAGCACCGGGCTGATTTCTGGCTCACCTTCCTTCCAGGCTTAAATTTGTTGTAACCTTCTTCCTCTATTTCTTTTCCCAAATTTACATTATGAAGGTTATGTTTTTATTGAATTTGAGTTGTCGGTTTTGATTGTTAAAAATTTTGAATAGCATTTGTGTTGTGGGTTTTTGATTGTTGAAGGTTTTGAATTGCATTTGTGTTGTGGGTTGGGGTTGCGGCTGAGAGAAGGGAGAAAGGGGGTGGGGTGATGACGTAGGAGACAGGTAGGTTTTGGGTGGGGTGGGGGGGTTGCAACTTGCAAGGGAGGTGGGGGTGAGATGGGATGGGGTATTTGGGTTGTAGGGAAGGGTAAGGGCTCGGGGAAAAAGATGGGTGATTTTATTTTATTTTTTTTTAATTTTAAAATAGGGTAATAAAAATTATTATTTTTGCCACGTGACATAAATTTGGCAGCCCACGTGGCACAAATATGGCAACCACGTTAGCTTTTAACAGATCAATGGATGTAAAATGTAACAAATGTATTATATTGAAATAAAATAGTACTTGAGGTATGAAAGTGAAATGTTTTAAAGATGTTGTAAGGAATTGAAATCGACCCCAAACCTGAGGTGTAAAGTGTAATTTACCCAAAAATTATGTAGACTATCTTAATTTATTTTTATGAACATTTTAACTTAAAGATATATAGATTCCGATAAATATTGTAAAATCACTAAACTGACATCATATGATAACCCGTCCCTACTTTTACGATTTTATTAATTTTTAAAAGCATGAATTGATGAAAATGCCCTAGGGGCGAGAGTATGGACTTTGGTTAACCGTCATTACGTGACACGTATGAGCTATTAATTTACCAAACCCTTGAAGTACTCGACGTTACGAACGCGTATGCGTAAGCGGAATCGAATTTGGACCTACGACGAAGTTTTTTACGGAACTACAAAACTCAAGGGTGTTTTATGAAATTTGAATTTTGGGGTATTTTATTATTTTAATATTGTCTGAGGATATTTTAAATATTTTATAACGAAATTCCACTTAAAACCATTTCTGGGAAAAATGGGAAACATACATACGTATATATAGAAAACCAAAAAGCCCACTCACCTGGAGTTTGCGCTACAACTCCCTGCATAAATATCAAGGCGTCGTGAACAATTGCCGCCTAGAACAATTATCAAATTATGTCTTAGAATTCTTATCAATAGAACATATAACTTACATGTCCTAATTGGGAAGATCCGTACATCAGATTCCCGATCAGTAAGTTTCTAATATCCTCAAATATTACGTATTATAACATATCAAAATTTGGTGACGATCCAACAGTTGGATCGTTGATTGCTATAATAATCAAGCAGCGGACTTTTATGGAACTACGTTCAAATGACGGAAATTTGTCAATTGGACTTCACTAATAGAATCAGATTATTCAAATTTAACCTAGGAAGGTCATGGGACGTCTCAGCCCACGCACCGCTGCATGTGGCGGTTGGCCGCCCCCGACTTGCCGGAAAATTCAACTATTTGAAAAAATTACAAAATTTTATAGGTATGAAGATATCAACGAGTGAAACAAGTTTCATACCTGTGACTAAGGCCAATTTGGTCGGGAAAAGCCTTAATTTCATGAAAACCCGCCGGAAACCCTTAAGATAGGTGTTCTTGATTTGTCATCTCTAGTGCTCCACTGCCCCTACAATTGAATGGGCTTGTTCTAGGCCTCATGGGAAGTCTATTGATAGTGGTGGTTGACTGAGGTACCTTTGGATTTGGTAGATCGCCACCCCGAAGCCATCACACCCAGCAATGCAAAACCCCTAAATTCCATACCCAATCCTCTCAAATTTGATGTAGAAATGGTAGGGGAATGGTCAATATAA